TATCAGATGTTTTGCTCTTGGATGTGCTTTTCTAAGCAATTCGATCTTTTGAATTTCAGTAAGCCACTGAATAACTTAATGGTAGTAAACCTTGTTAGCACCGCGACCGACGACATGCTGGGAGTTACCACTAGAGACAGTTTCTGTAGTTCAAAAACTTGTGAGAAAGCAAATAAATTACCATTTACTCGTGGGATGACATGACTGCTAGAAAATCTGCACAGTTCTTGATAAATAGGAAGCAGTCATTCTTCTGAAAATTGGCATATTAAATAAAGGTAACTCAGTATTAAGTTTGATCTGTAATGACTAAGTCAGGAGGATGTATTTGAAAAATTTGAATGTGAAGACCATTTTAAGTCTCAAAAGTACCAGGACATAATGTTTCTAACAGATGGTTAGCCAACTAACCATGCAATCACATTATACTACATAGTATTATTATTCTAAGGGATTGTGACCACGACCTAAATATTTCTGTCAACTAAATTCTGTGTTCAAAATACAATAAGTGAATTTCGCACGAGAAGTGAATTAAGAATTGAAGGTTAACCATAGTCCATTCATATTTATCAGTACGATATCATATTATAATATAAACATTTTTGATAAGAGCGGCTCTAAGATTAAATTGAGTAGTTTAAACTTTGGAAATTCGAAAATGCATTTGTTCACTATTAAATATGAAGAACAAACATTACCTTTATTAACCACACATCATATTGTACAAACACCAAAAACGATAATTGAAGACCAAGTTCCAAATAGGCGCAAAGGTTATTGTTTTTGCCTGATCATTCTAACAAAAATGTTCAATAGAAATTAAATGTAAGAAAATGGATAAAAAAATAGTCCACACGTTTTGAATGGTTGTAAAGAATATATAGCGCACCGGCTTTTTCATTTTTCCAATGAACTGTCTCAAAAGTAAACTACTAACGTCAAAATAGACTCAATTGTTATTTCATCCACCATTTGTTAGTATATAGACTACTTGCGCGTAGAGCTCCTCAAGAATAAAAGCGCTTCGGTTTCTCGACGAATAAGTACAAACTGGAAGTTCGAATCCCTAGCTTCTTAAACTCATATCAGATGTAGCTACTTGGCCTATGTAGAAAGGCTCGGAACATTGGTTTTAATAGATGTTAGATATGTAGTCTAGGAATAATTTCTGGATTTAATGACACCAAAAGTCCATGAAGCTGGGGTTTTGTTGCTAAGATCACTCATAACCAACACCAGTATAACTCAGCTTAGTGATACGTACATCGAAAGGTAGTATCCGAATAATTTTTTGGCGGAAGTGTTTGGAAAATGGCTCAGTGTGCATACGGAAAAGATTGGTTAGTTTAAATCAGGGACTGCAGCTCAATTGTCATAATGTCGGCATTTATCAGTAAGTAACAATGGTCGCTATGGATCAGGCGACGGAAAGTACGTACCTGTTAGACAACTGCAAATGAGGACCACGATACGTCCACTTATTATGCAGTCGCTTATCTCAGGAGATATTGGAGATGAATATCAGTTTTAATAATAGGAATTTGCTTTATTTTACAATTATGCTGATATAAGTGACTCAGGAGCCGCAGATTTTGTGTGAAAACTGAGGAGACTGGAAGTTTATCGGACACAATTCGTGTTATCTGAATTTTGTTCACTAGTCAAGGAAATGTCAAGTCGGATATCACTGTTTCCGAGAGAAGGCAACTATTAGGACTGCGAATAGTTTTGTACTTAATGTTTGCGTCATATTCTATTATTCTTCTCTGACTGCAAGAATACACTTGTGTCATCATCTGAGTGTCCCCTTTACCAGCTAAACCAACAGGTCAGCCTTAAGTTCCCAGGCTTGCGCCAATACCATAAACAGTTAAAATGTTTGACCAGACCAGTATATGTGAAAAGAAATAAAAGTATTGCCAGTAAATTGGAATCCGAAGCCCTCCTGAAAGACCAGAATAGGAGAATATATAATTCAGGCGAATAGTCAAGCACTTAGCCCATCAACCATGAGTTAAGTGAAGCAAAATATCGACCATAGAGAGAAAGTACACCATTGCGGAGGGCCTTACATGGCATAAAATCAAAGTAGAGAACTTAAAAGGGGAATCGATCAAAATCAGCTGAGTTAAATCAACAAATATATCAGTTAAGTCGATTATGTTCATGTCAAAGGAAGACATACAGGTATCAGAATCAGGATTAGCAGATGAGTTGTAAGTGACAACGTCTGCAGTTACAGAAAACTTCAGAAATACTGAGACGAAGGTCAGCACTGTAGGTAGATTGCATAGGAAGGTTTTTCAGATAATTCCTTCTGGTACATCCGCCTTTAGATAACGTGTCTCAAACTTTTTCCTAACTGCTCCAGTTCATTTTAATTCAAAATTCCTAGTGTCTCTTACGGCATAAGAAAGTTGGTCACAGACTGCACACTACAATCCCTTATCAGGTCACAGTGCATTTCATCTCACTTGAAAGAAATAAAAAAGTATAACACTCAATTTCAAAACCACTGGATGAAGAACATGGCAATCAAAACATCCCGTCCAAGATTTTACGCCAGCGTATCAACCTCAGCAATACTCGATCCCCACGTATGCTGAACTACATGACAAGTTATCCCACTTTATTATCAATAACTTACTACTCTCATCAACACCATTCTTCCGTAATGGTATAGAAAAAAGTACCTCAGATGGTGTGGATTAACAGTGCTTTGTAGCTGCGTAGACTTTTATTGGTAATGGTTTAACAAAAAATGAATTCAAATCTTGTTTGTAGGACCACCGAATCAGTTGACTGGTGTCCAAGCAAATGACCTCCCTCTTAAGTGGTCTATGGCTGTCCGCGGTTTATTAGTGTCTGTATATACGCAATCTGCATGCAATATTCCGCATTATCTGAGAAATCCACCCCACTTGGTTAGCCCATAACGTATTTTCACAGTTGCAGTATAATATATTTCACACACATTCGATTCAACCCACGCTGTATAACAACATTCTCCTCTACGATAAATCCGGTGCCTGTGGAGGCAGAGGCTGCAGTGGTAAAGGCCATTAGACTTTGCGCCCTAGAGAACTGCGTAGTCAGATAAAGAGCACTTGAAAGACATTTCCAATTTACTCGTTATCACTTCATTCAATATTTGATCACAGTTGGCTGCCTAAGTAGATTAACAAATGCCATGTTCGCACTTGTCGGTTGTATAGGTTCAGTCCTTTAGTCATCAAACGCTAGAAACAAATGTAAGATGCAGACTACTAGTAGTCACGAAAAGTGAGTAATGTTTTTGGATCCAAATATCACGAACATCGCACTGACTAACGTCGAATGTATCAGTAGTGAATTCTCCGCAGGATGGCCACAGAGTTTTAGCTTATCAACGCTATGTACTACAGTGGAGGAACGTTAAAAACAGCTGACCAGCGCATCTGATGCAGTAGCAATGTGAGGAACACCCTCATCTGTTAGGCAGCACTCTTTTTCTAAGGTTCCTGGGTTTGAGTGAGTTCATAAAAAAGGTGAAAACTGCCTGAAAGCCGCAGCTCAAACGTAAACTTACCTAATGTAAGTAAGTAGTAAGATGTGAGTTCCGAATTTAATTAGATATTATTTATTTGAAACCAGTAACCATTGTTAGCTACTTCTGAAATTTCCTCGAGTCTTCCCTCTATATTTTTCTTTCTTCCTCAAAGCTTTTTCCACAGACCACGATAGTGAGGCAATAATGTTGCATCTCGCAATAAGTCTTACTGGGACATAGTGCGGAAATGGCACAAAGGAGACTACAGATATTCAATGAAGAGCTAGCACAGGCAGAACAATACTTGTAGGCAAACAACATTGCTTCCATTTGGGTCCTCCTTGTTTTTATCAGCAATAAATATTTAACATTAACTGAAGGTGGCAAGTATGCACTTCTTTGCCACACCCTAATAATTCACTAGCCTTGCTGAATTACATACGCATCAGTACCCATTTAGTTGACAGCTGTCCTATCATGCAACTAACAATATTTAAAGACGAAATCAAAATGCTGAATCATTAATCAGAATGTCCGAAACAGAGATATTTTGACATGGTAAAAGTTAAAGTTACTTACAAGTTCTACTAGATACAATCTCAGTTATGAAGTGTAACTATGTGCGCGTGAAACGTTAGAAGCAGAAGCTCAAGTTGCTGTTAGAGCCCCCTTAAACGCGTACGTACTAAATTAAAATTGGGAACACCTTACGCATCCAGTGGTCGAGTGACAATTTATCCGCTTACAATTTAGCTGCCGCGGTTGCATGTAGTTGCTGAGATCGTGCAGTGAACAGTTAAAATCATGTTGCATATGAGGAATAATGAAACATATGATGATAAGGACATGTAAAACAAAACGGTTACATACATGAATGTCCAGTCATACTATTGTTGTGTCATTTCTTATTTTTCCCCCAGGTTCCAAGTAGAAAATAAGGATTCACCAACGAATCTCCACTTCATCATTTTCTCTACCATTGCCTTCAGCTGGCCTCATATTTGCTCATGAGCTCTCACCTCATCCCCACATGATCTCTTCCAAGTCACACTCGGACCCATGGCCAACTCTTCTTTTTGCATTCGAACTTCTCTCGGCGACCTTAAGTGCGTTGTCACTCACTGTCTCCACAAAGTGTGTCCGAACCCATTTTCTTGTGGATATTTGTGGAGCAGTAGACTGTTGCTTAGTTCGTCGCCAGAAATCCTTGTTTCTAATCTTTTCTAACCACATCATCTTCACTTTGGAGTGAAGGCAGACCTTGATGCAAGTTTTCAGCAGGCTGTTTGAAATGATTTTGCTGGTGCGCACGTCTAGTCTGACCTAAAATTTGTGCTAGAAATCCTAATCTTGTTCTTTATGCTCAATACAGTAGATTTGCAGACTGCTTTCAAATAAACGCAGGTTGTCAATGGAGTTGAAGATTGAACGATCAATTCTTGGTTGTTTGCTCAAAATCAACTTCCCCAATTTTCGCGGAGGCATCAATACGACAGTCATCGTCTCATCGATCGCTGTTCAGAAAGAAGTCAGGAGACAACCATCAGAAGTAATCTTGTGATTTATTATTGTAATATTTGTTCACAGACCTTAGTTCAATATTATTTTTATATGTTGGTGTAACAATAAAGAATTCCCAAGCGGCCAATCGGTGTTTTGGTTTTTGCGTCCGTTATTACTAAGCGTTTCTGAAAAACTTCAAGGAACAGCGTGAGCCCGAGCGTAGCAAGAGCTGGGCATTAACGGTTTACGTGACGTGACTGACAGTTTCTGATGGTGAAGTCAGTTGTTGACGGTTTTGGACCGCTGGTGACAGTTTGGATAGTCGCCGTTCATCTTTCCTGGTGCCGGTCAAGTCCTCTTTGAACAAGCAATATCTGGAACGTTTTTGGAATTGGGTCAAGTTCAACAATGCCTGGGTCAAAGAAGGGACAGAGTGTCTTGGATGCAAACAGGAAAGTAAGTCATGGTGACTTGTCTGTTAATTGTAACGATGTGTCTGATGTTAAGCATGACATGGTTGATGTTACTGTTTCGCCGTTCAGGGATAATAGGAACATCAAACTCCCTAAATTTGAACCACGGTGTTTTGATGGAAACCCAGCTGATTATTTACAATTTGTAAAGGAGTTTGAGATCATGTTGAGTAGTTTTCTATTAAGTGATGAATTGAAGTTAATGTATTTGATGAGATATTGCACTGGAGATGCTGCAAGAGCTATACAGTGTTGTAAGTTTATGAAGCCGAAAGAGGGCTACGATGAGGCTATGAGCATATTACGTCAAAGGTTTGGAAGACCTTCATTGATTGTAAGGAACGTATACGAAGCTGTCAAAGGTAACGGCAGTCAACTTCAAGATGACTCCAAGGCACTTACTGAGTTTTTAGATAATCTTATGACTTATAAGAATACCTTGATTTCTATGAATTGCATGAATGACCTCAACTCGAGTTTTATACTAGAAGTAATAGCGAGACGCCTACCTACTCGACTGCAAAGGAAGTGGGTGAAGATAAGCTCCCGTATGGAGGATGAGGGTATCGAGCCAAAATTTGATGATATCCTGAAACTAGTAAAAGATAGTGTCAATCAATCGATGAGCAAGTTTGCCAGTATATTGAATCTCACCCCTAGAATAGAGCAGTCTGAGGGTAAAACGCAATCATTGATGACGAAAGGGCCTCAGAGAGGTGGATATCGAGAAGGCTCCATGATGTCTAGTAATGCATATAGATCTAGTGAGTGTAACAGGTTTCGTAGTACATCGTCAACAGATAAGTTGCAAGATGCAAGACAAACACGGTTGTGTTGTACACGTTTGCAAGAGGTGCATACAAAGGTGAACTGTGAACCAGTGAGCAAGTTCAGTGATAAGCTAAATGTAAACTCCAGGCCTGACTCCGAATTGTGTGACGATAACGGTGCGGTGAAGAAGTCTGTAGTTGCAACTGGTAAGCCATTGTTGAATAGAGTGTCACAGAATAGAGTTACTGCTTCAGAGTGCAGTTCTGACTCCACAAGTTTACAAGGTATTACTAGTCAGAGTGAAGTTATAAAACCTTTTAGGATTTGCGAGGAGGAACCAAAATTGTCTACTTCTGTTATTAAAGAGTTTGAAAATGATGAAGTTGACGGTAAAGTGAATATTCGTGATAATGATCATGATACTTCACAGTTGTCTTTGGTTGATCATGATGAAATGAGGGATATGCCTACTACTGCTAAGTTGAACAAAGGTTCTGTACAACTTGAACGTGAAGTAGAAATAAATGCAGATTCAGTTGCAGAAGGCACGCATACTTGTGAGACCGTCAGTGTGATCGATCAGCATGTAGCCCACCTATCATCAGATGCCAGTGCTAAACCTGAGCTGATAGTAAAAGACGGCAGTGGTGGTGGTCTTGCATGTAGACAAATTTCTGAAAGCCGAGCAACAACAGCTTTTGATCCACCGCTAACTTCATCAACTGGTATCAATCAGTCGTCGTTGGTGCTGTCATCCACAATGAAACAGACGCCCATCAACTCAAGTATCTTCTGTAATGACTATGCTAGTATCAGTCCGTTTGAAGAGACGAAAGATATTGGTCAGTTTAGTGAGAATAAGCCAAGTGTAAACGAGAGAGTAATTGTTAAATTGACTTGCACGAATAAAGGCATTTCTAGTTTCAAGTTACTAATTGAATGTTATTATCTTTGGTGTAAATTACTCTGTTTCTACACTTGGTTGATGAGATATGTCGTGTGTTTGTTGGTCATCTATATTCTACGATACAATGACATGGGCGTGTTGCCGTTCAGATTTGAGGATATAGATGATTGAAGGAAGTCAGCAAATGAACTCTGCGACGATTTTCCAACCTAGGGCGTCAACCTGAGAAGGGTTGTAGGCGTACTGCTGTAAGTCCTACAATTCTTCAAAGGGTAGCGCATCAATGAGCAGTCCAATGTGCTTGGTGTGTGATTTTGTACATATGTTCATGTTGTATATACTGAATTGATATCATCTGTCATCTAGCTGTTAGTAATTCTGTTTGTGTCCGGACGACTTCCACTTGGATCATCAACCTGTGAAGGAATGTAGGCGTACTGCTGTAAGTCCTACAGTTCTTCAAATGTAGTTTGTCGTGTCAGAATCCACAACATTTGATGTGTTGATTGTACATATGTTTGTGTTAAATAGTTGTGTGAGTTCCAATTATTGTAATTTTTGGTTAATCTTGTTTGTGTCCGGACATTCCGCAACTTACAATCGTCAACCTGTGAAGGGTTGCAGGCGTACTGGTGTAAGTCCTGCAATTCTTCAAGGGTAGTTTGTCGTGTCAGAATCCTCAACATTTGATGTGTTGATTGTACATATGTTTGTGTTAAATAATTGTGTGAGTTCCAATTATTGTAATTGTTGGTTAATCTTGTTTGTGTCCGGACATTCCACAAATTACAATCGTCAACCTGAGAAGGGTTGTAGGCGTACTGGTGTAAGTCCTGCAATTCTTCAAAGGAATTCCATCAAGACATGATCCGCGAGTTTTTGTGTACAGTTTGTATACATGTGTGGTGTGTCATATCAATTGGTGTTTTTTGGATTCATTGTGTTTACTTGTTGTTTTCGTATCTTGTTGTTATTGCGTAATTTTGTTAAAATTTTCGTCGTGATTACTTCTGAAGTTGTTTCTTGTCTTCTACGTTCGTGAATGAATTGATTGATGTTAAGGACAGCAGATGGGTCGTATACGCCGGGGAGGCTAGGCTATTGCTGAGAATGAAATGCACACGGAGATAATTGTTAGCTGCGGTCCGACACGCCGGGGAGAAAGAGTGTAAACGACTGAGGCTCGCATGCGTCACCGCTATTAGAACTGAGGCAGAATGAGTGACAAGCGATTTCAGTGGTAATTAGTAGTGAGTAGATAGGACGACGTGCGAAGAGTATCATGAGTTGGTGCTATGGTCACGTTGCATTTTGCAAGAGTCATTCTAGTAAGTGGCGATTGTGTTGCAAGATGTCAAGAGGAGGTCTCTCTCTGGAGGCGCAGGTCGTCATCGATGTGTGAGATTATGCTGTGGGTATGCTTGTGGTGTGTTGGCTTTTGTGTTTTGTTTTCTATTTCAGCTCTGTCCGTGTGACCCAGGTTCTCGCAATGGCATCCAAGTCAACGTGTATTGGTCGTGAAGGAGAAAAGGATTGGATCCGTATTTTGCCGGGGAGTGTCAATGGAGTTGAAGATTGAACGATCAATTCTTGGTTGTTTGCTCAAAATCAACTTCCCCAATTTTCGCGGAGGCATCAATACGACAGTCATCGTCTCATCGATCGCTGTTCAGAAAGAAGTCAGGAGACAACCATCAGAAGTAATCTTGTGATTTATTATTGTAATATTTGTTCACAGACCTTAGTTCAATATTATTTTTATATGTTGGTGTAACAATAAAGAATTCCCAAGCGGCCAATCGGTGTTTTGGTTTTTGCGTCCGTTATTACTAAGCGTTTCTGAAAAACTTCAAGGAACAGCGTGAGCCCGAGCGTAGCAAGAGCTGGGCATTAACGGTTTACGAGACGTGAGTGACACAGGTTTATCCTACCTCTCGGTGATCGATGCTTGTTTTTTGGATATGTAATCTTATAACCACCGTATTCATCGTGTTCACTCGAAGTCTTCTCTTTAACTGGTTCATCTGTCTTCTTGTTTGTTTTCTACTATATACCTTCGGGTCTGTACAGCATGATAAATAGGTCGTCCATAAGGTTTAAATCTTGTGGCGTTTTCGTGATCACTTAAACGCATGCTGTCTTCCTACTTTCCACGACGTACCACACGATCCAGTCCACCACATTCAGGAATATTATCGGTGATATTAGGTAGTTTTCTTCTCCTTATGTCTCCATTCTACGCTTCCTAAAAGTTTCCGTGGTAAATCACTCTAAATGTGGTATTATCACACAGCTGTTGAATGCCACTGACAAACATTTACGCAGTGTACTCCATAGTGCTGAAGCAGTTTCTGAATAACTTTATGGTTAACCACGTTGGGGGGGGGTGTCAAAGTCAGTGAAGTTGAGGGAGAGATTTGGCGTTCATTCTGCGTTCTGCTCGATGATGCATAACGTTTTGATATGATCTGCTTCTCCTGAATCCAGCTTGTTTTGGGCGAAGTTGCATCTTTCAGTCCCTCCAATATGACACGGCTTATTACTTTGCTTCGGGCCTAAGGAAGTTTTCGCAAAGGTCTAAGTCACTCTTCTCTGGTAGTCTGACAGTATAGCCGTTCCTCTAGTCAGTGAATTTATTCACGATGGTGGTTTAAGGACATAAGCTGTCCCAGGAACTTTTTTCGGTTCTTCTTGAAGAATTTCGTCCTGTCCTGCCCCTATCTCAGTAGCTTTATGTCGGTTGGGAGTATTAGTATTCACTTGTTACTGTTATATACGGTATCAGGAAGATAACGCTGTACTTTAAATATATCAGGTTTCTGAAGGAAAGTTGTGGTAATTCTTCACCTCTACCTGCATATTTAGCAAATAAATAACTCGATTCTATGAATAGTGATAACTTAAATGACACACTATCAGTTTACATTTCATCTATATGCAAGTATTTTACAGCGAAATAGAGGAAATTAAAAATTCTTAACAGCAATAATATTTTACTTATATTATTTATACACTGACACTAGTTCTTTACACTTGATCTTTGCTATCACATTGACACAGCTCCATAACTACCCGAAAGCTTCGATTTCATTTTCACCCCGTCTCCTGCATTTGATCCGCGGATGGTGAGCGAATCTCTTTCGGTTTAAGTGCCGCAGGAGGTGTCAGCAAACTGTCAGAAACTGTCAATGTCCAGCTCTTACTACGCTGGACCTCACGCTGTCCCTGGAAGACTTTCAGAAACAATTTGTAAAAGCTAACTCAAAAATCCAGAACACAGATTGGCGACTCGAGAATCCTTTATTCTTACGCCAATATGTAACCAACAATAGGGTTATTATACACAAGGTCTAAGAATTAATGTTATAATAATAAATCATGATAATACTTCTGATAGTTTTCTCTCTTCCACCGAACAGCAAACGATGAGACCATGACTGCCGTATTGATGACTCCCGCGAAAAATATGGAGTTGGTTTGAGCGAACAACCATGAATTAATCGTTCAATCCTCAACTAAATTGACAGGAAATTCTCCAGGGTGAAGTACGCGTGGTTAGGTTTTCCCGAAGAGGAAAGCATTTTTCGGAAAACAACTTTTATTTGAATTGTTATTTCAGGATGATCACTGTGATATTTTTAACTGATTCCCATTCTAAATCAGACTAGATATTTTGCTAACATTACTTTATCACTGGTCTACTGAACCGTTGTTCATAACCCTCTGTTGCATGAAACAGATTTTCCATATGCCACACTCTGTGTCGCACCTCGATGATGCCGTGTAGTTACCTACTCTGGAACATATACAGTGAGATTCAAATCTGGCATCTATTAACTTGTCGTGTAGTGCTTAAGTCAGTGAGCATTAGGCCGAGTTGTCATACTAGTGTCCTTAGACAAATAGTGATGTTCAGTGATGTTCTGTTCAGCATTGTTTCGTGAAATGGGGTGAAAAATGTGATATATTTAGCGTGTTTATATAGTAACAACAGAAGACAGGGGCCAGGCAGGTTGTTTATTGAAGAAAACAAGAGATATTTGAAGATATTTACGTACGTTATTGTCAGCGGAGAGGCAATGTCTTCTCATTGGTTGTTTTCTTGTTAAGGGTTATTCCATTATCTCTTTGTGACCGTTTCTCAGAAGGTTAAGCCGCATATCTGAGAATCCTATTTGCACACTCTAAGTCTGCTCTGATTGACTGTTGAGTTCCTCAGGGTTAATCTTTGTTATTGTATTTCTCATGACTCTGATTCGAAATGTAACACTGAGGTAAATTGCTGTCTAAAATTTTGGCTTACAGCCAGCTGTCACCACATTATTACTTACTAGTAAAGGTATAAACTTTTAACAGCTAAAGTATTTAAGGCATTTACTGTAAACTTCATGCGGCTGATATTGTTATGGCGAACAACCTATATTTGTTAGCCGTGAAGACATGATTAACACGTGCACTGACATGATAACCTGATGAGACAGCTTTTGATTGGTTTATTTTTGACTCCAATTTCCAAGGTCTTTCAAAGCCACATAACTAATATGATTTTGTCATTTATTTATGACTTAAATTTCTGAGAATTTGTAAGCTATGTATTTTGAGTAATAAAATGTTGTCACAGTTGTCTCAGTTGAATCTGACTTTGCGTCTGTCTCATTGTGGAGAATATTTTCAAGTGACCAACAAGCCAGTTAAAGTGTCCTATCTGAAGACGACAACCACAAATCAGTAACACTCCGCACATTTTCTACTGGTAACTAGCTGTCGCCTTGTCGTGGTCGTGTGCCATGCAGATATGAAATGATCCAATGAGCTACACTGGTTGCAGTAAGTGTTCTTGCTGGTCAAAATACATCGGAAAGGTTGCTTGGGAAGCTATTCCACTAAAAGCAGTTAACATCATGATGTGAATTCCTCAGGCCTTTTCACAGGTGTGGTAGAGAAGTGATACTGTTGATCAATGGGGATGCAACAGAAATCAAATGCTTCCTTCAAACGACTAGATTCTTTCCTTTCTAGGGATGCAGCGGTGAGATAAGGTCGATTCAAACAATTCTACATCTTTATTTACCTTGCAGGGATTCTTAGTCATCGATAAGCTCATCAAGTGGCCAAACTCCATACACCACTTCAGTAAGTCAGGTATTTCTACCTTAATTCAAATCTGAGATGCTCACATTTTGACCTGTATGTTGCCACATTCTTTGGATGGTCAAAATTGATTTAGAAAGGCAGTGAAATGATAAGGGCATAGGATACAAATGAGTGATTACTATATAGATATGTATCGCCTATCAGTTGTATTCAGGACCTGCGTTAAGCAGTTCAAATGACTGATTGACTTTATTTTCAAATTAGAACTTTGCACAAAAGTGCAGCAGTTTAAGCAGTCACACTTCAATATTCACTCATAAAGGTAGAACAGAGAACAAATGCAAAGAAACTAAAAATTGGAGGAAGAATGGTGAGAATTTATTCATGGAATTTCATAAAGAGTGTGAGAATGAGACCAAAGAAGCCAGTCAAATCAGTTGAACTTACAGCGGTCAGTTTGTTTGTATGTGGCGATTTAAACACTGAGCGAACTATTCAATTTTCGAAGTACAAGGGCGGATGACCGTACTGCATTTTAATCGTGTATTTATATACTCTGTCCATATCATCATTAATAAGTGCACCTTTGAGCAGTCATTAGTATTATATTTTCCCTTCAATATTTGCGGTAGTTTTGAGTACGGCCTGGTACCAGGTTAGTTAAGCCAGGCTAAAGCGTCAGAAGACAGTGTGGCCAGACCTGAGGACTAAAGGGATATATGGCCACCCAGCCACCGCGAGAGTTATTTCTGGTTGAAGCTAACTGAAAGCGATCTCTACGTTGTTCAAGAAGCCTATCTGACTAGCCTCAGTCACCGAGATGAATTTTTGGCTGTCATATATGGTATTCAACCGTTGATTTTTGGTGTCTCGAGGATCCCAGTCAGTCATAAACCAATATTCAAAGACTTCAAATCAGTGTTGTGATTTCACCAGGCCTAAAGTTTCTCCAAGACTATTTAAATCAGTGTACATGTATCTTAATGACTGCTGGAGTACTCCATTTTAGACTCCAACCAATCAGTCCTGTACATCCCAGGCAAAATACTAAGCCCCATCAATCTGGAGAGAATCAAACAAGCCCTCAATGAAAAGTTTCGACCGGAACAAGCTAGATTCAGGAGAGACAAGTCATGTATTGATCAAATCGCGACACTACGGATGATCATTGAACAGAACTTGGAATGGCAGTCACCTCTCTAATTCCCTCAACTTCATCGACTTTGAAAAGACATTCAGCAGACAGTGTCGATCGAGAGGTGATTTGGAAACTACTTCGCTACTACGGGGTGCCGCCGACAATTATACATCTCATTCAACAGTTGTACGACAATGCTGCATGCCAAGTAATCCACAACGGGAAACTTACGGAATCCTTCGAAGTGAGGACGGGAGTAAGACAAGCTAGCTGCCTACTATCGCCAATGATCTTCCTGATTGCAGTAGATTGGATAATCCGACAAACAAAGGACAATGAGGAAACAGGCATAAAATGGACTCAAACAAAAAGAGACTTGGAGGATCTAGACATCGCCGATGATATATGTCTGATTTCCCACAAACTGGAAGATATGCAAGTGATGAAAAGCAACAAGCTGGCAGAAGGAGTACCCAGAGAAGATAGGACTTCAAGTGAACACAGAGAAAACAGAGGTGATGAAGATTCCTGGCCAACACCAACAGCAACAACAGCCACAGACAAC